AAAGGGAGCCTGGCTAGCCACAGCCATGCACAAAGTGGCCAGCTCAGTGCTGCTGGTGCTCCAGGAGGCCCCCCAAAACCCCAGGTAAGGCTGCTGGGGGCAGCACTTGTGCTGGTCCCAGCCTCCCCTACCCCACCTGGGTCACTTTGCTGTGCACTGAGCACATGTGCAGGGGCATGCCTGGGAACAAATAGTGGCATAAATATGTGCTGCTGGTATTTGTCCGTCAGGAAACTTGTGCCTCTCCACGTGCATGCTCATCTAGACATGCCTTCTGTCTCCAAGAGGAGTTTGCATTGGTGAAGCTACATTGATCTGTACGTACTATTGAGGCTGAAGCAGCAGTGGAGCCAGGTATGCTTAGATAAAGCAGTATTTGGATGATAGACTTGCAAAACAGTACAAGTAACACCAAGTGCAAAGCTAACTGGCCTGGGGCTGTGGGAAAGGTGTCTGGGAGCTGGTTATCCTGAAGTTGGAGGGCTTGCCAAAGTGTTTGGGTACTAGTTTTTGTAAGTGAAAAGGATACTGGAGGAGGTGACCTACTCATCTGCCTTTATAGTTTCTCTGTCATTGAAATCAATGCATATCACTCAAATCTCTAAGGCCTAAACTGAAAGGAGAGAAAATCAGCTTAAATGAAAAACTGAAGGAGGGGGAAGCATAGGTAAAGAATCTAGGACTTGTATATAACTGCAAGTTCTCAACTTCTCATGGGCAAACAGTAGGAAAGGCAGTCCCACTCCAGTCCGGGAGTTCACTTCCCCTCCCGTAGAGCTAGTCTAGCTGAACATCTTCAGGCTCCTAGAACCATGGCAAGCAATTTAGCTGGTAGTGCTGCTGCTCAGGGGTCTGCAGATGGAGGGCAGAAAGTGTCACGAATCTAATTTAAAAACACAGCTCAATGGTGACCTGAAAGTGTGCTCCTTTAAGAAAACAACTTTTTAAATATTCACTCACCAGGCAATGGATTGAATGCCCTAAGCAATGGGTTGTTGGTTGTAGCCGTGTTGGTCTAAGGACATAGGCAGACAAGGATATTTGGGTAAATATGATACCTTTTATTAGACCAACTAAATAGTCAGAAAAATTGTTCTTTGCAAGCTTTCAGGCACAAACACCCTTCTTCAGGCACAGGGAGAGTTCTTTCCCTAAACTTGGTTGGGATCCAGAAAAGAGGCATCTCTCCACCTTTGCCCCCTAAGGAACTCCCTGTGCCTGGAGAAGGGTGTTTGTACCCAAAAGGCTGCAAAGTACAATTTTCCCAACTATTTAGTTGATCTAATACAAGATATCACATTTACCCAAAGAACCGTGTAACCCTGAGCAAATGCACTGAAGTCTACATACAACTTCAGATAGTTCCTCCAAAATGAATAGGACAGGATACTACTAAAGCCCACTAACCCCAGGCTTCAGTCACACAATACTTTTCCTTAAAAGAATTATTAAGCTAATCTATTTGATGCAATGGCGGATGGATTAAATGGGAACAAAGTGCTCCCACCTCCACACCTGCCCAAAACAGAAAAAGAGAGTAACTCCCCAAAAAACAAACATCTTGCTTATCTTGGCTTTTCAAACCTCTTCATGCTTGCTAAAGTTCTAGTTGTTCCTAGCAGTTTTTGTAGCATGACTACACCTGATCCTTGTGGTGGGGGGAGCTATCTAAAAAAAATATTAGAGAAACATACAAAATTAAGTAAGAGGAAAAGTACATGGCTTGTACGGGAAGTTCCTGTGTAATTCAGCCCAAACATGGGACCTTATTAGCTTCTTCTGGCAGTTCCACAAGTGCTCTTTTCTTAACTGAATGTTTATAACCAAGTGTTTCTTTACAGTGCAGGGAAGAATACTACTTACTGCTCACAGTCTCTTTAAACCAAATGTTTTTAATTAAAATTTACACATTTGAAGTAGGTGGTTACAGAAGCAAGTAAGCAAACTACAAGCTTAAATTGGCTAAGGACAATTCTTCATTGATAAACATTCACAACCTTAGGAAGCTACTAATTGCTGGAGACATACACAATATATGAGACAGCAGCCAGGATCATGATTTCCACTCTAACTGCAACTGACAAAATGCCTCTAATAGCTTTTCCAAGTGAGACTTGAACATTCAAGTCTGTAGAGGACCTACTGCTAGAGACCCCAAAGTCATTTTGAGTTAGGTCCAATAAGGGACTTAAGGTGACCAAATGTTAAATGGCCTAGCACCAAACTTTCAAGCATCTGGCCCCCAAAGAGGAATCTGAAACCTGTGTTAGGTTTCCTTTAAAGTGCAGAGAAAATTATAACCTTAGAAGCATGATCCAAAAACTATGTACTGAGCCTGGGAGGCACCTTCAGCTATCTAGTAAGTAATGCTGAACTGTTATCTCGTTATCTCATGCATCTTCCACCTCACCACTCTCTGGACCTGACACTTGACTTCAGACTACAGGCAGGCAAGTCTGTCCACCTGGGATCCTCTTCTGAAGGAAGAGCTCATGCCCTTTACTGCAAAGTGACCAGAGCTTGTTCTTTTCTGTTAAAACATAGCTGCCAGAAAAGGAGGCCATCCACCTTTTACTTAAGAGTATAGTAGGTACAGAACTCATCCAACAAGTAGAAGAACTGTATTAATTCCCATTTCAGTATAAGGGTGTCAAAGCCCCATCTTTCTCCTGGTACCCCCCCCCCCCATGAGATTCCTTAACTCACCCAAGAACCCTAATGTTTGTGCTTGAATGGTGCTTTTCTGCCCCCCATAACTGTTGCATTCCTTTCTGCAGTGCAGCACAGCTTCAGGAAAGGAACATACCCCTGCCCAAAACAGCCTGTGGACTGTTTTTAGGGCCTTGTCCGGGGGGGCAGAAGATATAGGTTTAAAGCTCCATTTCCACTTCACAGAAATCTCTAACCACTAGCTTAGGGGTTGGCAATGTTTTTGATCAGAATGCCAAAAACACCCACAACCTCGACTGCTAAGATGCTGGCATGCCACGGGCAGATGGCAGGGGAGCCATGAGTGGCCTGATTCTTGTTGTGGCAGCACAGGCCCAGCCCCTTCCCCACCATCTGCCCCGAGGCGTGCATGCCAAGCAAAATGCCTTTGTGTGCCATACACTGGCACCTGTGCCAAGGGTTGCCTACCCCTGACTAGATTATTGCAAATGATGGGTTCCTCTTCTACCAAACAGGTTTCTAAAATAAGCACTTTCTGAGGGGCCAATCCTACTGGGGCCTGTTGAACATGTTCTGAGCATGCCTATGCAGCTGAGTCCCTCAGGGGGCAAAGCTGGAGGGATGTCTCTTTTCTGGATCCCAACGCTAAGCTACTCTGAGCAGGGCAGGCGTGGGCATGCACAGAAGCAGAAGTCTAGGTGCCTCCCTATTTAACCCACGTGAGTTTAGGTGCCTCAAGCTGAGGCTTAGGCAGCAACTGAGAAGGTTTTGGATTGAGGTAGCCCAATTCTGCCTAGGACCTATAATGGAGCCAGCCCTTGATCAAATTCCATTTAATACCTGATAGTCCCAATTGAATGGTGCCTTTAATAGACATGTCTATAACCGCTGATTCAGGCAGTGACCCGCACAGGAAAAAGGTTATTAAAGAGTCCCAATATCTCTAACATTTATCCTAACAGAACTATCCATTTTAAGATCTATTAATATTTAACCTAAATACAATTTCTGTTTTTTTCTTTTTATATATAAAAAAATACATTTGTATATATTTTTTTGGAAAAAAAATAGAAAAAGTCTTACGAGCATTATTAGCATAGCACATTAACACTGATGTAATTTATATCTCCATTAGGGATTTTTTTAAGAGGTATGCTAGAACTAAAACAGTAAGGGTGCTTGTACGCATGACAGGGGTTTAGTCCTCAGGGTTTTAGTCTGTGCCCCCTAAACTGAAACAGTGGGTTTTTAATTGAAGCCAGTTTCAATTTTTCTCTTGTATTACAGCCTGAGCCTGATCCTTTTTTTTTCTGGAGTCAGAGCCTGCCCGCAGCTGGGGGGTGAGCTATGGATGGGCCAAGCAGCCAGTGAGCTGCAGGGGGCCCTGGTCCTTTCCTCCACAGTGGTGGAGCCGCCTGGGCAGGCTGCTAGCGTGTCAGGTGCTGCGCCAGCTTGGAGGCAGCATCCGGCCTGATCCAACTCCAAGCTGGGGCAGCCCCAGGGGCCACCACTGCTGTGGAGAGGACTGAGGCCCCTTGCAGCTCACGGGCTGCTTGGCCCAGTATCTCACCCCTCAGCTGTGGGAGAGGCAGGCAGTCTCCGCTGGAAAAAAAAAAAAAATCTGATCTGGCCCCTCACCACTTTTGCCTTCAGCAGGCTCCTGTGCCTGGCAGGACACCTGGGGCCACCCAGGAGCAGGCTGGCTTGCCACTGGGGCAATGTGGGACGACGGCAGAATGTCGGCTGGGTTTGCTGGTGGCCAGAGAGGGCAGCAAGGACAGTGTATAGGGTGCTTGAAGCCCAGGCAGGTTGCTAGCTGGCTAGGTGCTGCCCCAGCTTGGAGGCGCCCAATCCAATGCTTCCTCAAGCCGGCCGGGGCTTCCAGCACCCCACACACCATCCCCACTACCTTTTCTGGCTGTCAGCACCCACACCCCATGCACTGTCTCTGCTGCCTTCTCCAGCTGCCAGCACACCCAGCCACTCTCCTGCTGCCTTTCCATGCTGCCCCCAGGGGCAAGCCAGCACATCTGGGGCAGACCAATCTGTCCTGTCAGCTGCAGGACTTGCTGAAGGCAGAAACGGCAAGGGGCCTGCCTGATCCTTTTTTTCTGCGGAGCCTGCAGCCAGGAGGCAAGTTGACAGCTGTGCAATTTGCAACATCAGGATGTAGTTTAGTTTGCAATGATGCAAACTCATCTAAAATCTCCAAAACTGGTGCACATGTAATGTGTGACACTATTAAGCCACACAAATGACATTTTTGTCATGTGCACATCATGATGACCGTCACATGTACAAGTGTCCTATGTTCACAGACTTCTCTGACAGTCAGTAGATTCTGGCCTTTATTAATATGACTATTATTTATTTATTTATTTAACTTAATTCTTTTTTCTCACTTTAAGGTAGCATGCCTGGAAAAATCCCTTCACAAACAGCAATCTAAGAAGGATACACATCTCAAGCACAGATCTAAAATGACTGTTTTCTTTGGCTTAAGTTGAGGAGGAAAAACTTTCATGTTTATTGCCTGTTGATGGAAGAGGACCATGAAGTGATTCATAGTAAGATGGTCTGTTCCAATACTGGATTGAAGTGAGAACCACTCTTTCTATATATGCTTTATATATACCAGCTTTAGTAATTCCAGTTCGGCTGGTAGCTGTCCAAACACACCACACTATCTTGCAGGAAGAATCAAACATGACAGCTGAAACCTGTAAGTAGTTCTCAGCAGTGCTATCTGTTGTCCTCTGCCAGAAGACAGCAAGCTGGTCTGAGTTCTTCAAACATGAAATGGACATTGGTTTCCTCAAAATCTGGCTTTGTCTTGTTGCTGCAAACTGACAAGCCCTGGATCTGCTTATTTGAATCTGATCCCTGTCTATTGGTTTAAGAAGCATCAGATAACTGTCCAGTCCTTCCACATAACCAACAAAAGGTCCCAACCAGCTGAAATTTCTGAATTCTGTTGTGGACCTAGTGAGAAAATGGAATTTCTCCTTATCCAAGCCAAGGCAGAACAGAAAACATCTTTATACAACCAACATCAAAGAGAGGTTCCCTAGGGCAGAATTTAACATAGGTGCCAGCTCCATGGCAATGTTACCAATATTACAAACTTCACTGTATTGGAGAAGTGCCATTTTTGGTTCCTAAAGCATAATTACAAACCGAACCCGGATTTATTTCTGTTAGGTAAAGGAATCTCTTCATAAGTTATTTTGATGTAGGGAGATTTCATTGGTAAAAACCAATATTCTAAGTTGTAAAAAAGGTAAAACCTCTGCTGCAAGATGACTTGATCAATTATTTTTAAGAGATTCCAGAAGAATTCTTTGACAGCTCGAGGAGGTTTGAATGGAGAGTAGAAGTCTCTTAGGGCTTCAGCCACTGTCCTGTTCCCTGGAGGTCCAAAAATAGATGTTTCATTCCCCAAATAAATGGGCTCCCCACTGAATAAAGTTATAGTGGTGTAGTTTGTTTGTATGTTGTTAAAAACAGCTCCTAAATCAGCCAGCTTCTGGTATGTTCTTAATACAAATTTAGAGCATTCATAAGATTCAAACCATACTACAGACTGCTGGTCTGGGCTGGCTCGAACTGTCCAGGTCTCATAGTAAATGCCAGTATCGTTGTCATATTTTACCCATTTTGCCATTTGGTTAAACATAATTCCTGTAAGAGACAACAGGGAAATTAGAAGCATTATGAAAAACAAACACAGACAGAAACCAGTTAGCTAGAAAACTTAAATTGCATTACGAAATCCTTTGTTCAGAGAAGTCAGTATCTTGGCATAATACATGTATCTACAAAGCCTCACCTGGATAATAACAAGGAGTAGCATGAAAATTAGGAGAGCTAACAAACCCTCTGGTGAGCAGGTTCTTCATTTAGGGAAATAATATTTAAATTGCTTATTTCTGTCCCCTCAAGAGCTACCGCTCCAGACTTAGCACCATTCACCCCATGCTTATGATTAATGATCTTTCCTCTTCTGTTTTACGCATGTAGTTATATATAGAGCTGACAGTGCTGTCTCTAACTAAGGCTAACCAACATTTTCCATTCTAAGATCCTGTTTCTCATTATTCTTAAACCTCTATCCAACTTAAAGTATCTGGGCTGAACTTTTTATGCCTCTTGCCCAAAAGATGCCTAACTGAACCTGCAAATAATATACTCTTTAGCTTCAGAATTTTAGATGTGCTGTAAAATTAAAAATTCCCTGGCAAAAAGTAGACAGGGCCATGAAATGAAATTAGAAGGAGCAAGGATGAAGTCAAGAAATGCCCCTGTGTATTTTCAGTAAGAGACCTCTTTAATTGGAACAATATTTTTCCCCCCAAATGTTCACATACTACACTCATGAAGCAGTCATGAAGTCAGGCTCATAAGCATCCCCAAATACTTGACATGTCTGCCAGTGCAGGGTTCAGCTTAGAGCTGAAACAGAGTTCCTAGGCCAATTTACTGTGCCTGGGAGTGGTGCCCTTCAAGCACACCACATGGCTCTGCTCTTTTCCTTTGCCAGTCTGAAATGAATGTTTTGCAACTGCCCGTGTTTTGATTTAATTAGCTTGACGTCTTAAGTCAGAAAGTTTCACAAAGGCATATTTCTCTTTGTGTACCAAGCTCAGTCTGTGCCACGATGTGTCAGAGTGGGCATGTACTTTTTTATTTCAAGATTTCAATTTTCAGATGAGAGGCTGTTTTGAACTCAGAGTAATGCACACAATATACATCAAGGAGCTGTTTTGGTAAGCAGTACAAAAAGACAAGGTGTAAATGCTCTATTTGTCTTGCAACATCTGACAGGGAGGCCCATTACTGCTGTTTGGTTTATTGCTGTGCCTTTGTGATTCTTAACTTTCAGGAGGATGGAAAGAGATTTGAATGGATGTTGATGTTCTTGACAATACATGTAGTTATGACTTGTCTGTTCAAGATCACAACACAATTTTCTCAGTTTTTTCCATTAAAACATTCATCTATTGCTTTGCAGCTGGAGATTGTGTTCTAGTGCAAATGTATGAAAAGAGTCCGGAATGATTTTGTATAAGCTGTTTTGCTATTTTTACACTTGAGAGGCTTGAGCGTATTGGGCAGGCTCTAATGTGACATAGCAAGCAACTCTCATTTAACAGCATCTCTTCAGCGTGTTTCCTATATTAAGAAAACTGCTAAAGTAACACTTCAATTTCAAAGCAGTAGGATCAGTCACTGCATACTACATGTGACTTACAAAAAGTGAATGGAAAGATACTGTTTGACTTGAATGCATGACTTTACACACTACGGTAAGAGTCACCATAGGATTCCTAATCCTACCTGTTATTGTGGTCACCAAAATCAAGGTTCCATTTTCTTTCCAGTGTGCATCATCAATTCCTTCATAAAAACAGGCAGCTCCCTGATTACACCAAAATGGTGCATCAATATTAGGTCTGAGATGTGGAAAGGTGCAGTTCCCAAGCTGGAAGAGTTCATACCATTCCATTGTGTAGTTTCTGCCAGTTAGAGAACTCCTGAAGCCAACAGCATCATGCATAATTTTCTGTGGAAAGGTTATGCAAGGAAAAAGCTGGTAAAACTAAGCTCAGTTCACATTGTACAGAAGTTTAGAAAAATGGGAGTCTATTGTGAAATGGTAGTTTTTATACCATATAAAAGCATTATCGATTACATTTCTCTGTATCATCTGCCTACTTCCAGTTGCCTACTGACAGCCCACAGTCAGTCATAATTACAGGGTGACTTTTCAACTAGAATTAGGAATCAAGTTTCCTCTTGCTTTTCAATACCCACACCCCCAAACTGTAAAAGGAGAGTTGCAAGAATCAACAAATGAAGTTCTTTCACGGGAACCCAATGCTACTCCAAGTAATAAAAATATTTAAAAGTAAAATAGGATTTTCTTTTAAAAAAAGAATTAAACAATAACGTAAGCACATCAGTGCAACCTTCAAGCATTCAAAAATCATAATTCAGACTCTTAAAGTCATTGAATTAGTGTTGAAACTCCTCAATTTATCAATAAGTATTTTATTTTCTTTGCTTACCCCATATATTTAACCTTTAGGGTTCACATTTTAATCTTATTCCTGCTAGTATAAGGGCTAGAAATGTAATTTACAAAACCAGTAAAGTTGAGATTCTTTTGTATTCATGTGACTCTAGGAGTTGAGGCTTTAACAGGAACATCAAATATTGTAAGATTCAAGCTAAAGTCATGAAAATTGATCAAACAGCTACGTGCATTCAACATCTAATTCCAGTCAATTTTTGCATACTATAAATTTTTCTTTTATTAAAAAAATCGTATGGACCTAATGAGATCTTTCCTAAACTCTAACTACAGATTGCTGTAAGAGATTAATTTAAATTGATCTTTGTCAGCAATGGTAGAGTCAGCGCAAAACAAATAAATATCTGTATATGCACACTGCATACTGCGATTGTTGGCACTGTCAGGCAACACCTTAGACTCCACAGCAAGTTTGAGTCTGTCAACAGTGCTGAATCGTGCTGTTTTCTCAGTCTAATTCAGATTACTTCAGTATAATTGTTTTCAAGTTTGGCATTTTTGATATCCTTGCAGTAATTCTAGTCCACGACCTCCAGTACTCCTCTTGCAAACGTACTAAAATATGGCAATGCATAAGCTTCTATACTTAAATCTGGAATAAATGAACTGCCACTTGACACTTGCTATTAAATTTAATTGATTTGCCAAAAGGGATTTGTATTAAATGAAGAGAGAACCTTACCAAATGCCCAAGCAGCCCCCCATATTTGAACTCCCACACCGGAGCCTGTAACCGATACACTTCAATAACATCCTCGTCTTTCATTATTGGGATGGGAGAACCAGTAGGACAGAAAGTATAACGAGCTTGACAGTAGGGATCCGATTTAGGGCGGTAATCAAAACGTCTACATCAAAAAACAAAAGTATATTAGTCTAATTTCAAAGGAAAGTCAGGATTTCACAGAATGTTTGTTTTAAGAGACCAAGCGTCAACACCTGCCTCTCATGGACTGATTTGAAGCTGAGCCCAATTTTAGAATACCCACAAAAAAATCAATGAAAGCCAGCGGTGCACATGCAGCGCCTTTGAAAGTGAGGTCCAAATAAATACCATCACCCTGCAAACACAGTACGTGAGAGTTCCCCAAGCTACTCTGATGCATGTTTTGAGTATTGGAGCTAAAAACTATAGCTGAAGTGTCAGGATATAGGCAACAGAATTTAGCTGTCTAGCAAGCAAGGAGCACCGTTAATCCCACTGGAATGGACTTGCTCTTTCACCTGACTTTGCCTTATAAAAATATGGGCACAAAACTAGAAGTTGAAATCTATTTTAAAAGTTGGACCTAAGGTTTGTCTGTTTTCCTGTGTAGACATCAAACCTATTCCAGACCAACTTCCATATGGAAACTCTAAGCCAGGAAAAACATCACTTTCATCCTCGAATGGCTTGGATGCTGATGTGTTATTCTGGAATAACTATACCAGTAATTTGCTCTATGAAGAAAACCCCTAAGAACCTTTTCTAGGAACTTTCTTCTTTCCCACTAAAACTTGAAAAAAACCCACAAACACAGAAAAAAAAACTAATTCCCTTTAGATATTAACACCACAGCGGAACACATTCCAGGGATCCCCTGGTTTTCTCTGATAAAGAAATATCCCCAATTTTCGGATTTAAAAAAGTAACCCAAAATCCACATTTTCCATGATCAAAATGAAATGCCACTATACGTATATCTATATTTTAGTGGTGTTTCATTTTGATCCCTGCACATTACTGTACATGAAACACAAAGAACAATCAGGAACACTGTGACTTCTCCAATGCAAGAGCTCCCTGCTGTCCCTCAATTTCTGTTCTAATTCACTATATTTCACTCAAGGCTTGTTTGCCTTTTTTCAAAAGGAACATTCAATTTGCAACCCTTAAACACTCTTTTCTTCACACCCTTGCAATAGCAAGCTATTTAATGATAGTGTTCAGGGCACCCATACACATGCCTGACACCTATTCCAGCACGTTCTAATTTGAACATGTCAGAGCAGCCTCAATTAATTGATGTTGCATGTATTCAGCATCCACTTGCTTCAAAATGGTGGGGGGGGGTGCTTTAGTTAAAGCTTGTCGAATAAGCTTTAAAGTGCCCCTGCTGCCATTTTGAAGTGTGGGACACTGAATACACAAGATGCTACGGGCACTTGAATCAGAGCGCTTCCCAAGAGCCGCTCTAATTAAAGCACCCTTACCCTGAAACATGTGTAAAGATGCCCTGGGTGATGGTAAGCCAGGAAATATGCACAGGAAAATTAAGGCCCTGCTGCCTGCCACAGAGCTCAGGCCCAGGCCCCTCGCAGCACACAGTAGGGAGGCTGCAAGCAGCTGCACCAAGTTCCTCAGTCTTGGCCCAGCTCATTACTGGTGGCAGGTCCACACATGTCTTGGTGTGGACAGCAGAAAAGGGGCTGCTCTGCCACAAGAAGCATGGGGCCCCTTGGAGCTCCCCCACCATCCACCCGAGGCGTATGCGCCAAGCAAAATATCTTCATGTGCCATGCTCCAGAGCATGGCCAATCCCTGATCTAAATTCTGTGCTTGCTTCCTATCCTATCCTCCACAGAATTTTAGAAGCTCCAACTATGGGAAGGAGCAATGCAAGGCTGTCCTATATACTCTCCTAATAAAAATATCCTTCCTGAGTTTCTTTAAGCCGTGTGTGTCTGCGTGCATGTGCGTGTGTGCCTGTCACAATTTATATGCGATCCAGGGATCAAATTTCAGTTTACTACAATGGAACCCGTGGCAGTACATGAGACCCTCACCATTTGCGGGGAATATGTTCTAGAGATCCCTGTGAATGGGGAAATCCTCGAATACTGTACTGTGTTGTCTGCGTTGAACACTTGTTCGGGCTTGTAACCCTTTTCCTTGATGATTTTAAGACACTATGGGGGATAATCCTGTGCTGCTTCATGGTCCATCAACTTCACTTTATGTAGGCTGTGCCTCTTTTTAAATTTCTCGAACCACCCCTTACTTGTGGAGCGCAGTAACGAAGCGTCATCACGCTGCGCGGGGAAAGAGCGTGGGCTGGTGTGGTGCACTGCAAATATTCAAAACCATGAATCATAAATCCGTGAATAGCAAGGGTTTCCTGTATTGACCAGAGCAAAATTAAATACATGCACAACTGGAGCCTAATATTTCAAATGGCTATTTCCAGGGCAAAATATAGCCATGCTGATTAAAATCAGGCAATGTGTACTAAAGCTTCTGTGTATGTATGCACTACTACTATCTCATATTCATTGGAAGAAGTATGTCTGTGGATGCTTAAAAATCAATGTGGGAAAATTTAAATGTGGCTACTTAAAAAAAAACAAATTTTCATCCTCAACCAATAAGCTTCCCAAGCTTATCCAGCATCACAGCCTCTCACTTCATACAGTGATTAAAATACAGATATTTTTTCCTTGGTACTACAGCTCTGGAATTGCAAGCAGGTATTTTGTTCCGCTTCATGCATTATCACCAGAACCGTTAGCTGAGTCTTGGTACCTTAACCCCATTTTCTGTAACGTCAAGTACCCACAGCTTTTATTTACAACCATGGTAATTAAAAGATAATGATGTACCAGCTAGAACAGACACAGCTTGATTTTCATATTCCAGGTCAAGTCTATGACACCTGCCTTCTTACTCATAAACTGAACATGGTGCCATTGAAAAGCAAGGACTTGTTACTAGTAACAGAGTCACATTATTTTAAACAGAAGAGC